ATCCGGCAGAAGGTTAGCTGTGAAGCTATCTGCAGGGAAGTTCTGGCTTCCTCTAAGTGATCTGCTCCAGGTCAAAGAAGCAAGTTAGGACGAGACACCACCGTAAGCATTTAACACACTCAGGCTTTCTGTGGCCCTCAAATATGCTCAGAACGCAGGATTTCATTGTACTGTCTTTTTTCTTCCAGATTTCAGGAGAGATCCCTAGACACACGTAGTGGCCTGTCTTCTAGAAGGGCAGAAATGGAAGTCGCCACGAGCCTGCAGCAGCTGGGCCTGGAGGGAGGACCGGCCTTTCACTAAATGCCTCCAAACTTGAAGGAAGAGCTGAGCCTCTGGCTAAGGAAAAATGACTCGGTCAGGTAACCAGATGACTCTGTGGCGAGTGTCACTGCTGCTGCTGCTCAGCTGGGTGCGTCCGCGCTTGGCTGATTTTACGTCACAAGTTGTCCAGCAGGGCCCCTCAGTGCTCTGCAGAGCAGCTTTGCCTCCCACACCTGCATGTTGAGCTCGCCTCTAGTAGAGCGGCACTTTGCTGAGTTGTTGCTCTCCTTGAAACGCACAGGAAATGTCTGCAGGTTTGGCAATCTGGCCTTCCCTTCCTGTTCCATTCTCTTGTTCGCAGAGTGCACAGTCACGATGTGACCGCCTTTAACCATCTTCCCTCGTAGTGCCCTTAAACACTTGCGGCCACATTTTTCTTTTTGGTACTGAAGATTGAACTCGGGTCCTTGCACTTGTGAGACAGGTGGCGGAACCACTGAGCTAAATCCCTAGCCCTGTGGCCGCATTTTTAAGAAACTTATAACAGTTCCATTTTTAATCAGTTGGCTTAGAAAAAAGCATATGTAACCTTTGTCAGAAATCTAACTTTTTATTTTTTAAATTTCATTTGAGACACCATCTGGGCTTGAATTCACTATGGTAGCCTAGGCTAGCCGAGAACACATAACAATCTTCCTGCCTCAGCCTCCCTAGTGCTGGGATTACAGGTGTGCATTACCACACCTGCCCCAACTTTTTATTTTAAACTTCTATGATAACATTAAAAAATTTTTATTTTTGGCTTTGCCAGCCCTCAAGGCCTCCCTAAGGGATAAATAATAATTTTGGATTTATATTGTGATTTGCACCACCTGGTCCAGGAAGTCCAGATGGACATGAGTCACCGGGTGGGTGACCAGAGCATGGGACCCACCTTCCCAAACTGCCATTGTTCCTTCTGCGCACCCTTGCTACGTGACTCATTTCCCAGCTGCATCGGTATCGGCTAAGAGGCTGTATGTGTGACCCACGCTGTCCCCGTTGTGACTGCTGTAGTAAACACCCGATGGAGGATCTCCGTGGGTACCCCACTCAGGACAGCCCTGGAAGTCCGGGAGCTTAGTTCCTTAGTTCCAATAAAACTCTGCTAACAACGACTTCTATTCGCAACTTCATTTCTCAATGCTGTGGGGCCGTGAGCTCAGCATGTCTGACATGCAGCAGGTTGGGAGTTAGGTTCTCCTCTGCCTGCTGTTCTCCTGACTGCAACAGGTCTGGGAGCCCAGCTTCCTCCATCAGAACTCATTTCTTTTTCTTTTTCTTTTTTTTTTTCAGCTTTAATTGAGTTTATTGGTACATTTTAGGGATACAGTACAGTTACATTCATTGTTGGGACCTTGTACCTCTACATGACAAGTCTTGATTCTCATTTTTTCCCCTTACCCCTGCCCTCCCTTCACCCCCTCCTCCCTTCCCCATCTACAAACACTTTATTTTCATCTTTTCATTATCTCACATTTTTTTCTTTCCCTTTTTACTCTTCTCCTACCCATCCCACCTTCCCTACACCTTTAGCTCCTTTCTTCCCATTTCTAAATGTCAGTAATCTTATTAGAATCTTATGCATTGTTGCAAATTATTCACACCAGGGAAACTATTTGGTATTTACACATGTGTGACTTATTTATTTCACTTAGGAGTATATCTTCAATATGCATCCATTTTCCTATGAATGAATCTATTTTCTCGTTCTTTATGGCTGAGTAATATTCCATTTTATAGAAAAACCACATCTTTATCCAGTTTCCAACAGATGGGCAAATGGGCTGTTTCCAAGATTTAGCTATTACAAACTGTGCCGCTATAAACATGGGTGCACATACTTCTCTGTGATATGATTCTTTTAGTTCTCTTGGAAAGAGAGCAGAGGGATGGCTGGGCCAAATGGAACCTCCAGTCCAAGCTCTTTGAGGAATCTCCATATTGATCTCCACAGTGGTTGCAGAACTCATTTCTTGAAGACAGCAGTAGGAGAATTGGGGTTAGGAGAAACATTAACATTTTACACATATTATTTCCTTCCTTCCTTTTCTTTCTTTTTTTGTACCAGGGATGGAACTCCGGGCCTTGCGCTTGCGAAGCAGGTGCCGGAACCTTCCTTTTCTTTCTTTTGGAGGCAGGGTCTCACTACTAAGTAGTCTAGGCTGACCCCAAACTCACAGCCAGCCTCCTGCCTCAGCCTCCTGAGTGCGGGCACCACCACACTTGGCTTACACAGTGTATCATTTTTGGATTCCTACCATTTTCTAGGCTCCAGTGATAAAGCAGTGAACAAAACAGACAAAAATTCTTACCCTCCTGGAGTTTAAATTCTAGTGGGAAGAGACAGGATCAACTCAAAGAATAGTTTACTTAGAACAGTAGTGAGTGATGACTGCTTTGAAGAAACACAAAATACAGACAGTACAGGGAGCGGCGCCTGCAAGCTTAAAATAAAGTGGCCTTCGAGCAAAGCTGTGAGGGAGAGCTGTGTTGACACCCAGGGACAGAGCACAGGAAGCAGCCGCAGAGGCGGGACAGAGCAGATCCGGGATTACAGCAGATCGCCGGCTACCCCGGATGGCACAGGGACAGGTGCGGAAGAAGGGAGGCCCGTTAGAAGGGCCCACGTCCATCCCGGAAATTAACCAGAAACTTTTACGTGGTCACAGAAATGGGGACAGCCTGCTGACAGAGAACAGAACAGGTGCGATGCGACTGTTCTGCCAGCATTTAATTTGGGCAGAATCGGGCAGTGTGATTTTATGAGCTGAAGGGAGGCTGGTATGAGACCAGAGCATAAGGGTGGGGAGGGGCGTAAGGAAGGTGGTAGGATCAGAATATGTGCAAATATGAAAATACCACACGGAAACGCAGTACTATGTAAAATTAATGTAAACTAATAAAATATACCTAAACAAGGGAATGAGACTTTATGGGCTTGCTTCGGATGCTGCTGCCCTCTCTTTATGCCACACTTGCTTGGGTGTCCGATAGAAATACAGATTCTAGCGGGGCTGTCCTCCTACCACTCGGGAGGCTGAGGCAGTAAGATCGCCAAGAGTTCGAGGCCAGCCTGGTCTACACAGTGAGTTCAAGGTCAGCCGGAACTACACAAGACCCTGTCTCAATAAAAGTAAACAAATAAGCAAGCAGCCGGCCTTCCCGTTTTGTGAATATGAGATGGAGTCCTGGGAATCTAAACTGTACTTTTGAGCAAAACCACGTGGGATTCCTCTGACGAAGTTCGGGCGCCTGACCTCTCGCCTCCCCTCCCCAGCCCTGCACACCTGTGGGGTTCGCGGCAGACCCCGACAGGGCGCCCTGGGGCCGGCAGATGGCGCCACGTGACTGCGAGCAGCGGAGGCGACAGGCAGGAGGCTCG